CGATTGCCATCACTAGGTAGCAGTTAAAAACGGTAATTTTTTTTTACAAGTCATCCATTATGGAGAAAGTGGATAATTACGATGGGCAATTTTCAAACGGTTCTACAAGAAAAACTATCAAATGAGTATAAAAGGGAACATAGAAGGAAAAAAAAAAAGATCAAATGACTCTCAAACAGATAATTATGTAATTTCGTTTCTTTCTTCTTGTTAATTTTCAATTACTTTGCAAATTCAGTGTGCTTGTGCCCCTTGAAGGTATTTCGCTTCTTGCAAATTGTAATCTTCATAAATAAAGCACCTCTTGTTGGGACTGTCTTGAGAGGTTGTTGTTCTTTACACAATTGTCTGAACCTTCTTTTAATTGTTAGTGAGACTCGATTTCCACGCGAAACAAAAACATTAAAGAGAATCTTGCATTATGAGTAAGGAACATTGGATTGCGGACTCCACTTAACCTCCGAAAAAGGCACTTGTGAATTTTCAACCTTCATTATCTTTTAATTAACAAGCCAAAAGTTTATTAAAAAGACAATTTTACCATCATATAAATGGAAAAACTTAATAAATATTGACATTTTCAAGTTTAGAGACCATTTACGACCGTACCTGAGTCAGTGATGAATCAGAAAAGAGATAATAGAAGTTTCTATAATCCAACAACTTAAATAATTATAAAACCATGAAAGACAGTAGTAGTTTCTCTTTTTCATATATTTTCTTTGTAATAACGACGGTGGTAGTTGATCATCGAAGTAAAAATATCAAACTATCTCACAAGGTTAACTAATTCACTACGGTACAATAGCAACTAGTCGAACTTGGTTTTGCTTTTCTAGGATTGAAGTCCTCAAATGAGAAAATGATGTATAAGTTCGCTTATATTTTTATATGGATATCATAAAATAAGCTATATTATCTTGACTCTAGGGTTTTTATTTGCCTTCACTAGCATACACCAATTCATAAGAACCAAGAGAATAGTCCAAACATACTTTTCCAACCTCAATTTTCTCAATTTCTCGGTCCCATGCAAGTATTATCCCAATTATTATGGGTTCTCACACTACCTTATAAAATATCCCGAAGTGTTAAAATTTGAGATTCTATCTTAAAAGGTCAACCTTATTAAGATGAGTAGTCTAAACGTTTATAAATTGGTCTATGTTTTCATCTTTACTCGATATGAGATTTTATCCCTTAACATGTCCCCACAAGATGGTGGCTCGTTTGAGCGGACCAATCTTGAAATCCGTGTGCTCAATTTTTTGAGTCGTAATCGGATCGAATTACTCATTAGAGTTTAATGGACTTTGATACCATGTTAATATTTGGGGTTTCATTTTAAAAGATCAACCTTATTAAGAGGAGTAACTCAAACCTTTATAAATTGGTCATATAAAAGTAGTAATAAACTACACCGATTCTAACCCTTAACACAAGTTTGCATAATCTCTTTTGAAGTTCATAACACGAGTTTGCATAACAATTGTTCGATATCTTGAGTTTATGAGACATGGTTTCCTCAAGGAGACGACATAAAATTATTAGATTCATGTTAGTAATAATCCCCGTTTAGTTTAGCTAAAAACGTTGATAAAACTTTTATTCAAGTTCAATAATTAATTTTAATCACACATATCTCATACAACTTTTATTCACTTTTCAACCACACATTTCATCAACTTTTATAAAATCTACTAAAAACCTGATTTTTAGCAAAGACAAACAGGGACTTTGCCTAAGTTATATTGTATTAACATTGTCTAAATTACAATATATGTTGTATTACAATAAGAGCAACATTCACATCTTCTTTTCTAAACTCTTTGCCTCCGATGGAAATTATTTTCAAGGATATATCGGAAATATATAAGATCCAGCATTCATGTTCCAGGCAAATTAAACACGGGTCTCGATTCAAAATTAATTCTGAATTTTTAATTAAATTATGTGTTTAAGTTGGACATTTCCTAACCAATTTGTTATTTGTCAACTGGAGGTGGTGTAAATAATATGAAACCAGAAGAATAAAATGTCAAAATGACAATGTCAAGTATTCGAGAAGATCATGAACTTACCAACTATTTGAAAGACCAATAAAAGACACACACTTTCACACTACGTTCCTTATACCAAGTCATTGTCACACATGGTGCCTAATCCTCCACAACCAGCCTAAAGAGTCAAATAGAATGGTCCAAACATTAGCTTCATAATAAATGCCTAAAAAAAAAAAAAAAATCTTTAACTGAACAATGTTTTTTTCCCCCCTCTTTTAGATGTCCAAGTTCAAGAAGTTGATCGAGAATCATTTACAATATGTTTGGTACATACCTTTAATTTTATATGCATCTCTTCCTTGATATCATTATCGCTAGTCTAGAAGAATCCAATCGCATTACTTCGTAGAAAATTCTATAATACTAGAGTGAAATTGGTCGAATCGAGACACACACAGCTCGCCAAATTATTTTTCTAGTGAATACTACATTTCACTCAACAATTACAAGCCGATGAACGACTTGCACTAGATTTTCTACGCTCGACTTGCATCCCATCTTGTATCGGGAGCGAGTTGAGCCGGCAAACGACTTTCCCCACTTAAGAATCCTACTCCGCGGGTGGGTAACGCACAGTATGAAAATTTAGGCAATATAGTTTGACCAAGTCATATCTTATTAATGAGACGGCTTTCTAGAGTGGGGAAACAATTATTCAATGCCCTTTAACTATTCAAACCAATGATACTACTTTTCAATTTTCAGTGGTTCTTTTCATCTGCAGTATTGACAATTATTCAAAATTGGAATCGCCCCAGAATCCAATCACAGGTTCTGTAGATAAACACTACCATCCAAAACAGATAACATTTGACCAATTTTTTCTCTATATATCTGTATAGTATCCAAAGTGCATATTGACAAAAATAATACAATGGCAGCAGGCTTAAAAACTTACAGACTTTGCACCTATTTGATCTTGAGTCTCACTGCATGTTCTGTGATGGCCTCTTCGTCCTCGTCTCAAGCAATCAAAGGCGCCTACTGGCCTTCATGGGCGAGGAATTTTCCTCCATCTTCCATTGAGACGTCGTTTTTCACTCACATATACTATGCATTTCTCATTCCTAACAATGTCACATATAAGTTTGACATAGAGTACGCAACAGGGGTGGAGCTAGCGAATTTCACGTCCACTCTTCATGCAAAGAAGCCACCTGTGAAGACACTCTTCTCCATTGGTGGGGCGGACGAAGGTCCGATTTTCTTTGGACGAATGGCCTCGAGTCCTTCAATGCGTAAGAATTTCATCGATTCAAGCATAGAAGTGGCGCGAAAATTTGGTTTTGATGGGATTGATCTCGATTGGGAATTTCCTCAAACACCTAAGGACATGGAAAACTTGGCTTATTTACTTGAAGAATGGCGCCTGGAGGTTCAGAAGGAAGCCAAGATCACCAACCGGACACCGCTCCTCCTCACTGCCGCCGTCTATTTCTCCGCCAACTTCTTCCTCTCCGGGACCTACAGATCATACCCTGCAACCTCCATCACCAAAAACTTAGACTGGATCAACGTAATGAATTATGACTACCATGGCTCATGGGATACTTCCAGCACAGGCGCTCACGCCGCACTATTCGACTCCAAATCCAACATAAGCACAAGTTACGGCCTTGGTTCATGGATCAAATCAGGCGTCCCAAAGAGCAAATTGATCATGGGTTTGCCCTTATACGGAAGAACATGGAAGCTTAAGGACTCCAAATCACACGGTGTAGGATCACCGGCCATTGACGTGGGACCTGGTGATCAGGGAGCATTAACATTCGCTGAAATAGAACAATTTAACAGGGATCATAAGGCCAAAGTGGTGTACGATTTGGAGAGTGTATCCATGTATTCAGTGGCTGGTACTACCTGGATTGGATACGATGATACTCCATCAGTGACGGTGAAGATAGGTTATGCTCAAACTCTTGGAATTCGTGGCTACTTCTTTTGGGCTGTTAATGGCGATTACGAGTGGAAAATCTCGAAAAGAGGTAATTATACGCGCACACTCTTGGAAGTCGGGGCTACTTCTTTTGGGCTGTTAATGGCGAGTCTGAGTGGAAAATCTCGATAAGTTGTAATTATAACTTTTGTTAATTTTTTAACCATACATTTCACCAATTTTATCAAAATGTACTAAAATTTAATTTTTTATCACCACACAAAGGTTAAGTTTATTAGATTATTACATCTTTAATTACGTCGAATATACTGATTTTAAACTTACAATTATTTCGTTATGTTTCATTGTGTAGCTTCCCAACTATGGCGTCTTTGAGAATTTTATCAATGGCTCGTCCTGTCCTAAATAGTAGAGTAATGCTACTCATCATCACTGGGGATGAAAACACAGTGGCGTCAATGTGGCATTAAATAATTGATGAAATTAAATAAGTCATTTAATTTCACATTTCATTTAACCTATCATTTAAAGTTACATAAACTGTATTTTCATTTTCACTGGAAATGAATAACATTACTCTAAATAGTACGAACAAAGTCGTTCGATTTGGTAGTACAACTATCAAGGGGGTCACCTTTGATTTTTATTTAGAACCTTGCTACATGTACAGCATGGTGTACAACCATTATTTTCCTTTTATTTATTCTATGAGAGAGAATATGAATAAGCTTCAATTAATTTTATTTTTTTTTTGGTTGATCGTACGTCCCTTCTTCGTTGTTAGGTTTGGATTGATTCTTTGAAATTGATCGTCTAGATGATTGTTAGTGAAAACGAATGTAATTTTTAAAAGTTGTGAAAAGCAAAAAGAATAAAATGCAGAAAATGGGTATATTATTGAAATAGAGTACTTCGATAATTTTCACAAACAAATTAATGGCAACATTAGTATCAATGTAAATTTATTTTATTAATTAACGTCAATTTTAGCAATACATTTAGTGCAATCTGGACCTTGCATGACCATATCAAATTATCAATCAATTCACACTATCCCACGCCATGGAAGCTGCCATACATGATATAGACCACAACATTAGTCCAATAGTTCAAAAGAATAATAGCAGTCTATGTGACAGTACGATGAATATATTTGGTGCTTAATAATAGAATTACTCAATCCAAGTAAATAAATAATATATCATAAATATGTTGGTTGTACGTCATCTATTGTGATTCGTATCAAGCCGTGCAATAATTTCATTAACAAACAATGTATTTGTTAACTACATTCAATGCGATTTTTAGTCTTTTATTGGTCTGGCAATTTTAGGGACGGCAAAAAAAATCGTTAAACTAGATATTCGAGGGTCCCACTCCGAATGGGAAGGGTATTACAAGGTGGGGGTCATTGATTCGAGACGAGTATGGGGAACATAGTCCCCGTCTCCTTTAAAGTTCAATATTTAAAAATAAAAAAAATGGAAAATTTTAAAATAAAGTAATAATTTTAACTAACTAAAGACATGAAAAAAAATAAAGAAAAATGCTATTCATCCCTAGTGGAGATGCATCCCTAGTCTATGTGGATGTAAATGATTGGTTAAATGATAGATGAAATTAAATGACTTATTTAATTTCACCTATCATTTAATGCCACATAGACTGGGGATGCATCCCCAGTGAGGATGAATAGCATTTCTCAAAAATAAATGGGAGGCATTGTCCCAACCTACCTTGCCTTAAGCAGGTTAGGGGCAGGGCAAGAAGGAAAACCACGAATGGGGTAGGGACAGGGGACGTAAATGACTGCTCGGTCCCGGCCCACCCCATTGCCATACCTAGGCAATTTGAGTGTCTTAAAGGTCACTAACCTTTATAGCCCGGTTTGGCTTCTCTAGAAGGGTATTGAGAGATAAAAATGCAAATAATGGTAGGCAACCCCACATGCGACTTCCTAAAAGGTGGCCAGGAAAGGTTGGGGTGTGCGTTCTTCCATTTTAAGCTATCCCAAACGAGCACTATAAAGCTACTGGGAAAAATGAATTTATACCTTCTCTAGCAATTGTCCAGTTGCTGTCATAACCAAGTTCCCATAAGAAATATCCCCCAAGGCCCTGAGCCTTGGCAAACTTGATTTTAGCCTGGATTGAAATAGTGTCATCATATCCAATCCAATTGGTTCCTGCATAAGAATATGTCGATACCGTTGCACTATCAAAAACCACAGTGGCATTATTCAATGAATTGAACCCCAATATATCAGAATAAATCATAACTCCTTGAGTCCCCCCAGGGCCTGTTCCCACAGCAGGAGCTCCAATTCCGTGTTCATTCGGATCCTTCAATTGCCATGTCCTCCCATAAACCGGCATTCCCATTACTATTTTATTCGACGGAATCCCATCTCCTTTCCATGTTGAAATCCCATAACTGGTGCTAATGTTGCTAGACTTATCGAAAAGCAAGGCATGAGCTCCAGTGACAGAAGTGTTCCACGAACCATGATAATCAAAGCACATTGGATTCACGAAATCAACGAAGTTTCTAATAGCATCCCCGGGATACGTCCTAGGAACGTCCGACGACAAGAAGAAATTGGAAGCAAAATAAACTGCAGACGACAAAAGGAGGCGGGGTTTTCCAGAGGCAAGCGACTCCTGGTTAACAGCAGCCCGCCATTCTTGGAAGAGCAATGCGAGCTTGGACATATCTTGTGGATTGCTGGGAAATTCCCAATCAAGATCAAGCCCGTTGAAACCATATTTTCTTGCTACATCAATAGATGATGATATGAATGCTGCCCTGTTGTCTGAATTGCTGACTAAGTTTGAGAAAGTGTTAGGACTGCCACCTGCGCCGCCCATGGATAACAATGCCTTGGCGGGGGGATTTTTCGCGTGGAGGCTGGCGGTAAAATTTCTCATCCATTGATCATCAGTTTTTGTGATTAACAGCTGATATGACGTTGCATCAGGCAATACAAATGCATAAAACAGGTGTGTGAAATATGAAGTTGGTATATTTGATGGGGGGAGTGTTTGTGCTAGCCAGGAAGGCCAGTATGCACCTTTGACACCGCTAGGTGGTGGTGCAGGACCTGGTGCCGGCGCTGGCAGCGGTGGAAGAAATAACGGTGGTGGTGCAGCATCGGAAAGTGCAATGAGGGCAAAAAACAGTGCACAGATTTTGTATACAGCCATCATTGATGATTTAAGCTGTTCCTTGGATTGTTCACACAATCAAGAATATGCAAATACATGTATTTATATTATCTATGGCGCCTAGGGCAAGAAAAACCTAATTAATATCGATGTTGTTTTGTTTGATTTGTTAAAATATTTCGAAGATCGTGTTTGAACTTTCCGAGGATGGGATTTTCTAACGTAGTGAAGTAAAAATGGTACAAAAATTATATGTGAAATTTGGCTCTCTCTGTTCAGATTTGTTGTGAATATTTTTGCTCTGGATGTTCAATAATTGCTTCTAATTTTGATTTGAATTAGGTATCAAGTTTCTATCGAAAAAAAGTTACCGTCGGAGAAAGAAATTAACTTCCGTCGAGAAAATAGCAATAAACCGAACATAACGACAAGAAATACAGAACCCACTCCCAAGTTTATGAATAGAATTATACTTTTCTTTGTTACATCTCATTGCAACACAAGATTATTATCTTCAATTCTTGTTCGTGTTGGTCATTATTTCACACGTATTATTCTCCGTGTTTCGACTATCATAAAAAGACTGTTCTGATGTCATCTTTTTATTTAACTAATGAAAAAACGCAGCAATTTTATTACAACCATAGTTTCAAATTTCTTTTTAAGTGGTTTTTTATTTTCAAATATTTAGATGTTATATCATATATGTATTTCTTACTAATAACTGAAAAACAGTTACTTAGCAAGAGACACTTTATTCAACTTTTCTTTCAAAGCCTGCTTATTTATATTCATTAATTTTTAAATAATTATTAGTACTAATTCTTAATTATTTAGTTTTTGTTTAGGGGCAAAATGCATTAATTCAATACAATCCAAGGCAATAACACTATATATTGAAGTTGTAAAAAAAAAAAAAAAGATGGTCGGGCTAGGACACGAGCCGCTAGATTTGCGTCCCTGCAAGAATTATTCAACTCCAACACCTAGGACGTGAAGACTTGGGTTTTGAATCTCCGCTATTACATTACAATAATCTGACTCCACCTGTATCGCGGGAATAAATGAGAATAGATAAATCGAAAATTCCAAAAAGAAAAAAGAATTATTTTCATGGAATGGCTATTAACAATTTGACAACTTTCTTTAGAATCAAATGCTTGATTTTAGTTCAGTTTTTTAAGGTCAAACAGCAAACCCACCTTTTCTTTTGGCGCCATGAAAGGGAAGAATTTATGATTATCCGCCATTCTCGAGAGCTTAAGGAACACCAATAATGGCTAAATATATAAGGGGGGTAAGGTCTTAAATAGTAAGGCTTCTCCATTGCCTTTGTTCCCATGGTGGCCTGAAAGAACATAGATAATTGTTTAGAGACAGAAAAGTTGGGCAATAAGGAAGGAAATAAAGGGAATTTACTCTCATTATTTTCTTTCTTCCTTCACCTTGTCAGGGTGGGCCTTCTTTTCTTGTAACTTAAACAAAACAATCATGGCCTCCGAAATGTCCTTGGAAGCGATCAAGAACGAACAAATTGACCTCGTACGTGTTACCCGTCCTTATGAAAGTCGTACTATTATGTTTGGCTGTGTTTAAAAGCATGCCCTTTTATCTGTATCTTTCCGCAGCATGTACGGATATTGATGCAGAAAAAAGCTGTTTTTAAGCACAACGTGAATTCTTGAATTATATCTTAGGCAGAATGTACATGTGATTGTCAGATGCTTGAATTCTTGCAGTAGTTTTTCATGTGGAAATATGTGTTTTTGCAGGAGAAGATCCCTGTTGAGGAAGTGTTCAAGCAGCTAAAATGTACAAGAGATGGCTTGACATCTGATGAAGGTGCAACAAGGCTGCAAATTTTTGGCCCAAATAAACTTGAGGAGAAAACAGAGAGCAAATTCCTCAAGTTCTTGGGTTTTATGTGGAATCCTCTATCATGGGTCATGGAGTCTGCCGCCATCATGGCCATTGCTTTGGCCAATGGAGGGGTAATCACATTTTATGTTCAATTGCCCACACCGGGTTTATGTGAAAATTTCTGATTGAACAGTCAATTGAATTATGCAGGGAAAGGGTCCGGACTGGCAAGACTTTGTAGGTATTGTGGTACTGCTCATTATCAACTCGACTATTAGTTTCATAGAAGAGAATAACGCAGGCAACGCGGCTGCTGCCCTTATGGCTGGCCTTGCTCCAAAAACCAAGGTATTGTTGTTCAAAAATTTATTCGTAAATAGTACAACCTTCAATTAGCAACGAACTTCATTCTAAATTTCGTAATATTTTACAGGTTTTGAGAGATGGCAAGTGGACTGAGCAGGATGCCTCAATCCTAGTTCCAGGAGATTTGATTAGCGTCAAGTTAGGAGATATTATACCTGCTGATGCCCGTCTCTTGGAGGGTGATGCTCTCAAGATTGATCAGTCGGCCCTCACTGGGGAGTCTCTTCCAGTAACGAAGAACCCTGGTGATGAAGTTTTCTCTGGTTCCACCTGCAAGCAGGGTGAGATTGAGGCAGTAGTCATTGCCACTGGTGTTCACACCTTCTTTGGCAAGGCGGCTCACCTTGTTGACAGCACCAACAATGTGGGGCACTTCCAAAAGGTACCTAGATTGACCACCACCGACAATGTCAGATTGATCTCATGTTTATGGCAAAGTGTGAGGATTCTAACACGTGTTCTATGTTCTTTTATCAGGTGTTGACTGCCATTGGGAACTTCTGTATTTGCTCCATTGCTGTGGGTATGCTGATTGAGGTTGTAGTTATGTATTCGATCCAGAGCAGGAACTACAGACAAGGAATTGACAATTTGCTTGTGCTACTCATTGGAGGCATCCCAATTGCCATGCCAACAGTTTTGTCTGTAACAATGGCTATTGGATCTCATCGGCTATCCCAGCAGGGAGCCATCACCAAGAGAATGACTGCCATTGAGGAGATGGCCGGAATGGATGTTCTCTGCAGTGACAAGACTGGAACCCTTACCCTCAATAAGCTCACAGTTGATAAAAACATGATTGAGGTGTTCCCAAAGAACATGGATAAAGATGCCGTTATCTTGCTTTCTGCCAGAGCCTCTAGGGTCGAGAACCAGGATGCCATTGATGCTTCAATTGTTAATATGTTGAGTGATCCCAAGGAGGCAAGAGCAGGAATCAAAGAGGTGCATTTCTTGCCCTTCAACCCAGTGGATAAACGTACCGCAATCACCTACATTGATTCCAATGGAGACTGGCATAGAAGCAGCAAGGGGGCCCCAGAGCAAGTGAGATATCCTTAATTGTACAGTTATGTTAATAAACTTAAATCTAATATACAATATCTAATTCTTTTGATATTTTGATAGATCATTGATCTCGCTGAACTCAAAGGGGATGCAAGGAAGAAGGCACATGAAATCATTGATGGTTTTGCCAACCGTGGCCTTCGCTCTCTTGGTGTTGCACGACAGGTGAGATGGAGTAACATGAAGTACTATAAAGATGTCCGTCGAGTTGTAAATTAATAAACGATAATGGTATACTAAAATGTGATTACGTCGGTATATCTGCAGACTATTCCAGAGAAAACCAAAGAGAGTGCTGGTGGACCTTGGGAGTTTGTTGGTTTGTTGCCCCTCTTTGACCCTCCAAGGCATGATAGTGCAGAGACTATCCGTAAAGCTCTTGATCTTGGCGTTAATGTCAAAATGATCACCGGTGATCAGCTTGCCATTGGCAAAGAGACTGGGCGTAGGCTTGGCATGGGTACTAACATGTATCCATCTTCTTCCCTTCTTGGCCAAAGCAAGGATGAGTCTATTGCCTCGATTCCTATCGAAGAGCTCATTGAAAAGGCAGACGGTTTTGCTGGTGTCTTCCCTGGTAAAATCATCATAATATAATTCATGCAAAATAAGTCAATTATTTCCAGTGAAAATCAAAATCAAGTAAAGCTGTTATTTTTGACTGAGATGAAGTTGTGACTTGACAGAGCACAAATACGAGATTGTGAAGAAACTGCAAGAGATGAAGCACATTTGTGGTATGACAGGTGATGGTGTGAATGATGCACCAGCACTCAAGAAGGCAGACATTGGTATTGCTGTGGCAGATGCAACTGATGCTGCTAGGAGTGCATCTGACATTGTTTTGACCGAGCCAGGACTCAGTGTTATAGTTAGCGCAGTCTTGACAAGCAGAGCCATCTTCCAGAGGATGAAGAATTATACCATCTATGCTGTTTCCATCACCATCCGTATAGTGATGGGATTCATGCTCATTGCCCTCATCTGGAAGTTTGACTTCTCACCGTTCATGGTTCTAATCATTGCCATCCTCAATGATGGTACCATCATGACCATTTCCAAGGACAGGGTAAAGCCATCTCCAGTGCCCGACTCATGGAAGCTCAAAGAAATCTTTGCCACTGGTGTTGTACTAGGAACTTACATGGCTATCATGACTGTTGTATTCTTCTACCTTGCATCTGATACTGATTTCTTCTCTGTACGTCCATTCGTAGAAACCACTTTCTTTAATTAATTTAGCAGTAAGGATAACAATGAAATTTATGCGCTAATACATACATACGCTGACAGAACACCTTTAAAGTGAGATCTATCAGAGGCAATCAGGATGAGCTTACCGCTTCTCTCTACCTTCAAGTGAGCATTATCAGTCAAGCACTCATCTTTGTGACTAGGTCAAGAAGCTGGTCATTTACGGAACGCCCCGGTTTCTTGCTTGTTGGTGCTTTCTTTGTAGCCCAATTCGTAAGTTCCTCGGAATATAATTCCATTTACATTATTTATTATGATAATTTCAAAGGCTTCCAAGTTTACGTTTTTCCATTATTAACTATTAATTCTCGATTCAGTTGGCTACAATTATTGCTGTATACGCAAACTGGGGCTTCGCTAGGATTCAAGGCATCGGATGGGGATGGGCTGGAGTGATCTGGATATTCAGCATTGTCACTTACTTCCCACTTGACATTCTCAAGTTCATAATCCGTTGTGCATTGACTGGCAAGGCTTGGGATACCATGATTCAGAACAGGGTAAAACTACAAACTTTCACCAGTCCCAAACTTAAAAAGCTACCCATATAATCTTTAATATTTTATTTGAGATTCGCCTTTAATCTTTATTCTCTCTTCTGAACAATAGACTGCATTCACAACCAAGAAAGATTATGGCAAGGGTGAGAGAGAAGCACAATGGGCAGTGGCACAGCGTACTCTGCATGGCCTCCAGCCAGCAGATTCTCCTGCCCTTTTCAATGACAAGAACTACAAAGAATTGTCTGAAATCGCCGAACAGGCCAAAAGAAGAGCTGAAGTTGCAAGGTATTCTCATGAAATATAACCATATCATGCTACACAAATTTGAAAAGTAACAAATTTATGAGATAAACACCTCAATCTTACAACAAATATGTTGCAGGCTGAGGGAACTTCACACTCTCAAGGGACATGTCGAATCTGTGGTCAAACTGAAGGGACTGGATATCGACACCATCCAACAACACTACACTGTCTAAAAAGTCATATAGAGCATAAAATTGACTATAAAGTTAAAAAGGGCTTAAAGTAAAGATACGGAACATTTTTTGTAATCTTCTACTTACAATTGTACATTTCAACAACATTGTTGGATAAAATCTGAAATAGGCGTGGATAAAGTGTACCATGGGATATTAGTATTACGATAGAAGCAATGACTATGTTCCATTTTATGAACTTGTATTCTTAGTGGGACATATTCTATTTGGATCAATTTTACCGTAGATGTCCATGAAATATTCTCCTGAATGAACTAGAATGTGTTTACTTTGGCATGGGATGAAGCATGGAATAAAGATTTTGAGTTCTTTTGGCATGGACTAGCTAGAGTTATTGATTTTTAGCATGTTAAATAAATACTGATATAAATAATCAAGAGTCCATGTGTAAAGATAATGCATAAAAATAAGAAAAATGTTGTGCCCAAAAGTTACTATCACTTCAAGAAAAATCATATTTTCACTTCTTGATGTACAAAGTGGCACACGAGCACCACCACAAATGATCTCTGTAGCAAGTAATAAATAAATGGTATACACTAATTGCAAAGACAACTTAAGAAATCAGTTTCACGTAGAAGTACATGAGCTAGAGATATTTCATTGGCTCTCAAAGATGGTTATCTAGGTGATCTCTACTAATAATGTTCGCTGCTCTCGTTAAGCTTTACGCACAATAACTCGCCTTTCTCGCTTGTATTCTACTTCATCTCTTTGATGCATAATCAACAGAGCTCTTCTTACCTGAAATATGCACCAATTACACAGCAAATATTAGATACCATAAAAGTTTCTGTTTTTTCGTTGTTTATACACTCATGGCAAAAGAAGTTCAAATCAATGTAACAATTTTTACTATAGAGCATAAATAATTTGACTCTTACAATAGAGTCATTCATGCCCATTCTTGAAAGATCATCAATCAGTCGTCTCTCTGAAATATGGCTTCCAATCCCCATTCTTCTCTTTATTTGGCTTTTTGCTTGCTGTACATCATTAAGGAATTAACAGAGTATACATCATGATAAACAAGTTAAAGAGAATCAAAAAGTCAGAAGTTGGCTTGTTTGAATCAGACCTTTATCTCATTAGCCATCTCGGGAGTAAGATTTATATTGATCCACTAGAGATGATTATTACAAAGCTGCTCTCGTTAAGCTTTACGCACAATAACTCACCTTTCTCGCTTGTATTCTACTTCATCTCTTTGATGCATAATCAATAGAGCTCTTCTTACCTGAAATATGCACCAATTACACAGCAAATATTAGATACCATAAAAGTTTCTGTTTTTTCGTTGTTTATACACTCATGGCAAAAGAAGTTCAAATCAATGTAACAATTTTTACTCTAGAGCATAAATAATTTGACTCTTACAATAGTCATTCATGCCTATTCTTGTAAGACATCAATCAGTCGTCTCTCTGAAATATGGCTTCCAATCCCCATTCTTCTCTTTATTTGGCTTTTTGCTTGCTGTACATCATTAAGGAATTAACTGAGTATACATCATGATAAAGAAGTTAAAGAGAATCAAAAAGTCAGAAGTTGGGTTGTTTGAATCAGACCTTTATCTCATTAGCCATCTCAGGAGTAAGATTTATATGTTGATTTATTCCAGAACGTGCTGCATCCATTGTAGAGTTATTGAAAAGCCTGATCGCTTCCAGGACATGGTTATCATTCGCGACATGAGACCTAAACCATAAAGAAGAATTGAGTAAAAAGTTAAAAAAAAAAAAACCAAACAGGTAATACATACAATTACATCCATTACCTCCCTTGCAGATAAATACAGCTGAGAGAACACATAATACAGCGGAAAAAAGAAATTAACTGTATGTTCCAAGTTTATCTGCAGGGATTATAAATAGCATAGAACATAATATTAAATAGCAAATTCCAGAGGATGATTGCATGATGATTTTATTGGCTGGGAGTTGATCCTAAGCTCAGTTGCACCAAATAAATGCTTTGCAGAGCACATTGCTTGGCCACTGGAGCTTACCAAACGTGTACTGGATAAATGACTGCCTACTGTATTTCATAATCCATGTCCCCCTTCAATTTCAAGGAGAATGCACAGGAAAATAGTCCAACCCGGTATTCCACAAAAAATGTAATCATCCAACTTCAATAATGGCCACAACTGAAATGGGACCAATGATGCAACAAATAGAGCATAGTACTGATGACGTCAAAGTTCTTGACGAAGGCAGTTCCAACTTTTGATTTACACAAAGAAACTTTGCTTGAGATGCATAGTTGGATTATAACTGGGTGTTCCTCAATTCGATGGCATCCAGACACATATCATATCCACAACTTTAGCAGTAACACGAAAACCAGCATTTTGAGACATTGTCCATACCATCAGCAAAAAGCACATTCTTGAAAGTCCGTTTATTATTGGCTGTTGCAAAGATTGGCGATAAACGTCCAAAACACAAATTTCACAATACTACATTATCTTTCTTTTCAAAACATAATGAATTATCTCATCAGAAACACTAAAAGTGAAACTACTACATTTTCATTCCTCTTAAGCTTATCGTTCACCTATGGTTTAAAAAGCGCATCGTAATAGAGAAACAGAACCCCGTTCAATATAAACTGTATGAGAAATGGACATCCAAAGATTAGCTAGCCCCTGTTTGGTAGAAATTAAAATCCAAATTGTAATCTAAGTCAAAGTCAACAACTAATTTTAACCACACATTTTATGAGACTCATAAACAATTTTTATCAAAATATACTGAAAATCTGATTTTAATCCCACCAAACAGGGGATAAATCTGTCAGAAATCATATTTTGAAGTCCAGTTGGGTGTTGGCATGATATGAGCATTGCAACTTTAATTCCACCTATGATGTCTAAAGGCAAAAAGAGGAACAAAAGGAATCATGTTTAATCAAAAGATATTCTACATCAAGTCATCAACTTACAGTCTCATTCTGGCAAGTGCTTCACTCAATCCCACAATAGCAACCTATCAATCAAATTGACACCATTTTTGCAGTTAGAAGGAACATGGAAATTACAGTTTACAAGGAAAGAGAGACAATCTTTGCGAGAGGAATGGTATCGTTTTGAACTTGAAGGTTAGGCATTTGTTTACCTCTTAAACAAAATTATGTTCTCCGCACCTCATTTTCCCAACAAAATTCCATGTCTAGAGTATTCAATTAATCAACAAGAATTCATCCCAACACCAAAATACACAACCTTAGAAGCGAGCAATTTGGAAAAAAAAATCTTTGGGAGGAATACCTATAGACCAAACACGGTAGAAAAATGACACAGATGCTCCTCACAATTAGGAGACATAATACACATTTTCATGGAAAAGTTACAGTTGCACTTCAAAAGTTTAACATGAATTACAATAAGTAGCTAACTTCTCGTGCAATGCTACTCATCGACCCTAAACTTTGGCAGCATTAGATCAGGTTGAAGGGCCTATGTTTTTTACTCCTTTGATGTTCATTAAAAGTGGTAAAAAAAAACCTGTCTAATTTTCACATAACTCTGCTGCAACATAGATGCTGCAGATTCTGAGAGACGGGGATGGCATTCGGTTTGACAATAGTGTATATACCTTCGCACAGCAACTAATATACTTCAGTCTGGGAACAAACCTTAGCAATGCAACTACAAAACACAAGCAAAAGGAGAGATTTTAAGAAAAAAGAACCTCTTCAACCAGTTATCCTCTTTGGAAGTCCTTGTGTCACTTGTGGTTGCACTGGAAGATGCATGAACTTTGATGATGTGGCTGGCAATATTCTGCAAAGGCATCATATCTGATTAAGTTCAGAAAATATATTCAATTTCAACATTATGGCAGTGAGCTCTTTTAAAGTGGTACACTTGACAAACTAAATTCACATAGTGTTTCAAATGTTTATAGTTAACCGTGTGGTTTGCTTCCCTTCAGTGTTCCAAACAAGTCTTGGAAAAAACACAATATCTAAAAGTGACTAATATTCTTTATCTTGTCCTGTGTGTACATTCTGATGTCTTTCACGATGAAAATTAAATCAAATCTTGAAATAATTTTGGTCTGCAAGTCAATATTATCTTGTGCAGTCTGAGGAGAAAAGTCTATTAGTTTCTCCAACATAGAACAAATGAAAATTATTAAGACATGAAAATAACCAGTGAGCAAATACTGAGGACCTTGAGATCATCGTAGCGTCCAGATGGAGGGTTGGCTGCTGCAAGCACTGAGGTCCTTGAATTGAGAACAGTTGTTATTCCTGCTTTAGCAATAGAAATAGTTTGCTGATCCATTGCTTCATGAATGGCAACCCTAGACCATGGATATGAACTCTTGAGAATTCTACAAAGAGAACCGTATATACAAACAGGATTATCATGATCTATTTATCATCACCTGTCTTCTGCCCTCATTTTGTCGAATTCATCAATGCAAACAACACCTCCATCTGCCAAGACAATGGCTCCTCCTTCTAGATAAAACTCCCTCTGAATTACCAAAGTAGAGATCTCAATAAATATCATGTAGTATAAAAAATAGGAAGGTATGCCAACTGAAAAGACTCTGAAGCAACAGACAAACTTACCGAGCTATTGTCACGAATTACAGAAGCAGTAAGACCAGCAGCAGATGATCCTTTCCCAGAAGTATATACTGCTACTGGAGCTGTCTTCTCATCAAACTTGAGAAACTTCACGGTAAATAACATACAAACTCAGAAATTTGTTTTATATGGTCAATAGGGAAATATATCATAGTCAAAATATCTTCAAACCAGTTTAAAATGCATGAACCAAATGAAGATTTTCACAAAAACATAGAGGATGGAATATGTGGTCATGCTCAACAAATTATAAATGTAAGGAAAGCTTAATAACCTGTGATTTGGCCGTGGATGGATCACCCAAGAGCAACACATTAATATCGCCTCTTAGTATCTGGCAATGTCTGCATTCTCAAAAGAGCGAATGTGCAACC